CCTTCGTGCTTTCATTACTTTCTGGGTGCTTTTCGGCTTGCAAACTGAGGGAAGGGGGCGAGAGCATTCCGTATCTTCGCTGTTTATTTTCCTCCTGTTAAATTTCACGTATCACCTCTATGACCTTAGTGAGACATGTAGATTTTGTCGAGTAAAAACGCTGCTGGAGGGCCTCCAGGCATTTACAGGTCTCTCCAGGAAACATCGACAGTGACCGATGAGATTCTGTAAAATGCCCCACCAAAACGAACTGCCCCGCTTTTCGTACTTGCTATTTATCCAAAATAGGCTTATCACCATTCTCGAACTGTGTAGAACGCCATGTCTGTGAGAAAACGCAGATAAGCAGAGGCACTCATGGGTATGTGTGATTTCCGTTTCAAGGGGACGCGGGCAGGGATAAATCACAAGACCTTGACGTTCTTGCCATGCACTTTCAAGTGGCGAAAGGGCTGCATTTCTGCACAGCGTCCATGCTCACTTGGGAATCCAAAAAAACGTGCAGTGTACGCTTGTGCTTTGTGGGGGGGGGAGGGGGGATATGCATATGGGCATTTTACTAACGTGAACCTGTAGTCTAGTTCGCTGCGAAGGAAGGGGCGTGTTCATGCAGGATGAGTTTGAGGCGATGCCAAACCCGGTGTTCACCAGATGTTGAAGCGTGACGTTGAGCGAGCAAGTGACACGACTGTATCATATCTTTCGTATCGCTCGTTTTCTAAAGATTGCTGTCGCATACCCGCTTCTACCCGGCAGAGAACGGGTTTGGCATCGTGGCACCCTCATACTGCCTGACACGCCCCTTCATCCACAGCGAACCAGAGTATAACTGACGATTACACTTTACAGGTGGATTGATTATCTATCAAGTTTAACAGTCTTGCTCTTCCCAAAATACTACTTCTTATCATTTTAACTCCCGAATGTTTTCAGATGTACCGCTTAACTGTGCGAAGCAGTAAGGACACTGTGTCTACCTATCTCGTTGATGCTCTTGTTGAACAGTTTTAGGATATATAGAGCCTTTTTTGCCTGCATTCCGTTTTCACCGTGTGATCCCTGTTATGATCACCGCTACTTAGACGGACGTTTAACTAGCGTTAGTCGCTGCAGATATGGTGTACCCACTTCTCATGCCTAAAGGGCTTCATATTTCTTTGTATACAACATTAGCTGTGATTTTGTGCCATTTAGGCATCATTCCTTATGTCCAATAGAGCATAGTAAAAGTCCGGGTGCACCGATCTCTGACTTTAAATGTGCGATATTTCACCCGAGTAAGTTCGATGATAATTTATTCGTGGAAACCTATTTGGAAGAAGTGATTACCCATTTCCTCTAGTCTGTAATGATGTACGCGGAATTCGAACATGTTTTATATGTCTTGTATTTCCATTGTAATCAGCGGTTTCGTACACTTAATTTTGTAAGAAGTCGAACACTGAACTGCGATCGCTGTCTTACGGGGACTGTTCTGACCAGGGGAGTCTAACTTACCATGGAACTTTGAATGGAGACCTGGGTAGATCGATAGAGTCTATAAGGTTATTTACAAATATAGATAGCAAAACTGCAACCTGCATTTCACAAGCAACTTATGAGCAGGTAAAGTTTGTAATGGTGCAGTAGGGTGGAGGCTTGGTGGTGAGCTGTGAAGCATAAGCGAGGAATCGCATACGTCGAATCGAGTCGTGGTGGTTCAGTGGTAAGGTTCGACGTTCGACGACTCGATTTGACGTATGCTATTCCTCGCTTATGCTTCACAGCTCACCACCAAGCCTCCACCCTACTGCACCATTACAAACTCTAACTGCTCATAAGTTGCTTGTGAAATGCAGGTTGCAGTCTTGCTATTTATATTTGTAAA